ATGACATCAATACAAGTATACATGTATATCTAATGAATTCGACGAGGACACTCATGCCGCTTTTGTACTGACAACTTAGTGCATAGAATCGGTACTGGGGCAAACCGAAAATAACATTGCCAGGACATGAAGAAGGTGAGTTCATGACGAACTAATGTTAGATTCAGGTGTTGCGAATCCAAGGCAAGGCTGATCGGTGCGAATTTCGGGAACTGATCAAGAGGGTGGCTGCCCAGGTGCAGGAGAAGGCACTATTGTAGGCGGAATAGAAGCACGATGCGTACGCTCCCATGCGATTTGCTAATCCAGGCCAATAAGGCGGCGTATGTGGTACGTTTGCCTGCGTAATGAGTAAGCTTGCATTTCAGAAATATATGTTGATTGAGCTGCTCGGTGTGGCTGCTCCTGGTATGAATTTTGTCAAGGTACCTACCTGTCTAATACCCTCCAACTCGACTGTTGGCTCCCCCACCTATCTCCATAAGTGGTCGTCGCTGGAGGGGACGAAGTGCACCTTCCTCGTGACGGTGCTAGGCCAAAGAGTGGTTCCATCCCGTGTGGAACGGGCTACGGCCCAGCCACCGCCTTGTGTACGTCTGATGTGCATGAATTCCCAAGAAGACCGGAATGTCTTCGTTCTGTTTGTTGAAGGCGCGTGGTCCGGCGCCGTTGATGAAACGTGGCTCCCAACCACACGCCTCTCGGTTTTCTTCCTTCGGGTTTACACCGGATATGGGCTGTGTGAGTGGAACTGTGGCTGGTGCATCGGAAGCCACCTATGGTCTCTCTATATGCGCAGGCGTCCAGTGGCTGCCACCGTGGAGACCACAGTGACAGGCGAAACCGGATACGGATTCCTCCAATCCGTATATATATATATATATATATATATATATATATATATATATATATATATATATATATATATATAAGCAGACGGAATAGCAATCGATTTCAAATAACTTATCTCACGCACAGTTTGTGAACATTTTCATCTCCACTGGTAATTTTCCTTCCAGCGTGTAAACACCAGTCCGATGTCAAACTGAAATGCTTTTATGTTAGTTGGGATGTTTTGACGTCTTGAAACTCTCTCTCGTTGATATTGCTTAATAGATGTTCCTCCAAACTTAGTTATATCAGCCTAAATGCATTTCAAATAGTGGACATAGATGATATACTCTACAAAAGATGAAGCGTTAAGTTCTGGAAATTATTCCTGTATTTTGGTTATCGTAGCTGTATATAATATAAGTAGCGCAATTGTGTTCTTCGAACAGGTATCCTGAAAGCTGGACAAACGCAATTTGTGAACGTTCGATTTAGACCCACGGAGTATACCACGTGTGTTCTCAAGTTACGTCTGGATGTTGCTCAACCGTATTTCAAGCCACGTTTCTGCAATATTTACGGTCATTCTGAGCCCGGCCTTGAGTGGTAAGTTTGTACCGTTGCACTCGCTAAAAGCAACTTATTTGTTCTAGGTTACACATTATGTACTTACGGTGATAGAGTTGTACATAATGGTTTCATCGCAGGAAGTGTTGTAGAGTACACTTGTCCCAACTCTACGTTTATGCTAAACAGCAGTGCTGTAAATAGTCCGAATACCGACACAGCGGTCGGCTTTATTACGACACATGTATGAAACAGCTACGTGCATTAGAGAAACTTCGAGGAACAAGGAACGATTAGTTATGCGCGAAGGAACTTCTGACCATTTCCGTTTCTTTGGCTTCTGGAATAGTTAATTGCGGTAGTTCATAACAATGAACAATGAATTTATACGGGTTAAGAAGCGTTGCTTTACAAGCCCCGTTGGATAGTTGGTGGGGATATCAACATAATAATTAAGATGAAAAGGATAGTAAAATAGTTAACACATTAAATACGAAAATAAGGACTTATCGTTTGCTTCGCTGCAGTCCTGCGATCCACTTAGATTCACAACATCCACAGTTAACAACAAATAATTCCAGGGTAAACTCCAGGTGTGGGATGGGGATACAGTGTTAAGTAACAAAGTGTAAGTGGATGAGTGCATCGTCCAACCGTCTTTTAAATACTGCTAGTGTCGGTGCAGAGACGACCGATTCTGGAAGAGCATTCCACGGGTGACAGACACGGATGGAAAAGAAATTTCTGCGGCACTCCAGACGACTGTATTGTTCTGCGAGTTTTAATGAGTGGCCCCTCAGGTTTGTATTGCTGCCGAGTTGCAGTAAAGGTCGGCACACATGATGTGGGTCTCACAGAATCACGTATGCCATAATGAGGTCGCCTCGTAGTCTGCGATTGCTTCCACTGAACAATCCTAGTCGTCGCAGCCTCTCCTGGTAGGAAAGATTGCGCATTCCAATTACGTTCTTAGATGCCCGACGTTGTGGCTGCTCCAGTGCATTAAGGTCGTGTTTCAGCCATGGATGCCAGACTTGAATTGCATATTCGACATGGGGGCGAACATACGCACTGAGCATTTGTCGAAATATGAAGCTGTTTATTTGTCCAAACGCCCGCCTCAACAGCCCGACGTGTTGGTTCCCGGTCTTCGAGGCCATTTCGGATTGCCTGGAGCAACCCAAGTCATCTTGAACCAGGACACCCAAGTCACGTTCGAGAGTTGATTGTTGCAGTACATCCGTTCCGAGTCGGTATGAGTAGCTGCCGTGATGTCGGATGGAAAGCACCTTGCATTTACTGACATTGAAATGCAATAAGTTTTGGATCGACCATTGATACACTGTATCTAAGTCACTTTGGAGCACATGTTGGTCGGTGTTCGCTTGGATCCTGCACCAGATCTTGATATCGTCGGCAAAAATTAGGAAGTTCGAAGCGATTCCCTGTGCAAGGTCATTAATAAACACCAAAAACAAACGTGGACCTAGAACCGAGCCTTGCGGCACACCACACTCCACTTGTATGGGGTCCGATAAAGAGCTCCGAACTCTGACCACTAATTGCCTTTGAAATAGAAAGTTGGCGATCCAGCTTAAAAGAGGGTCTCCGATCCCGTAATGCTGCAGCTTGGATAGTAGTATCCGATGGTCTAGGCGATCGAAAGCCTTGGAAAAATCTAGGTAGATCACATCAACGCCTTCTCCAGCGTCGGCTGCCTCGGTCCAACTACTGCGTGCAATGAGTAAATTAGTTATACATGACCGCTGTCGACGGAAACCGTGCTGTTCAAGAGTGATGAGGTTGCAGTTTTCCAGATAGCACACCAGTGCATCGGCAACTATGGATTCCATGACCTTGGAGAGTATAGGAAGAAGGGTTACTGGGCGGTAGTTGGAGGAATCAGTTCTGCTTCCACCTTTGTAAATCGAGGTTATTATTCCAAGCTTCCACATGGTGGGTACTTGGTTCTGGTCTAAGCAGTGCTGGAAAATCTGAGCTGAAGGTCCTGCCAGTTGGTTTGCTGCTGCTCCCAATGCCTCTGGACGAACGGTGTCGACACCCGGCGAGCTGTGTTTGCGTAGAGGAGTCAGCTTTTGCAATACAGCCTCTGCGGTAAAATTGATGTGGGTTAGTCTTGGTGAGCAGAATACAAAGCTTGGTAGATCGCTTGGTGACAAGACTCTTTGAAACGTGGGGGCGTATTGCATCTGCAGCGCCCTTGCCGCCTCTATAGACGTTCTTGTTGGGCCATCAGCCGTCTTAAGTGGAGGAAATCCTTGCCTCACCTTTCGTAAGCTATTAACGTGCTTATACAGCAGTTTGTGGTTAGCATTGAAGGTTTTTGCGATGTTCTGCTGATAGGCGGCTTTGTCTTCCCTTAACAGTTGAGTGCAATGGTTTCCTTGGGCTACGTAGTTGTCTCAAGTTTCTGGTGCTGGAGCTTCTCTGTACACTCGCCATGCTGCGTTGCGTACTGTCATCCATTTTCGGGTTGTGCTGCTAACGAAAGAAACTGATTTGCACTTATTGCAAGCTTTTATCTCTGAAGCCTGTGCAATCAGCTGACTGAATGTGTTGACGAACTCGAGCCAGGCGACTTCCGGGGGTTCTTCTTCGAGGAAAGACCATGTTGTGGCGCTGACTAGCTGGGCGAGTCGGTCGTACCTTGTGATGGTTCGCACAGTATCATCGTTATCATTCAGATATTCTGCATAGCAGACGAAGTTGAAACTGATGACTGCGTGATCACTGCGACCCAACGGGTAGTCTAAAACCAACGCATCAATCATATGCTCCTCGTTGGTAAGCACAAGATCCAACACAGATGGTCTGTTACCAGTTCTGAACCGAGTAGGCAAAGTGATGTGATTGTAAAGAGGAACAGTAGTTACTAGATCTTGTAGATCGGTTTTGTGTTGTTCTCTGATCGTTGCAGGGGCTTCTAAACAATGTACGTTGAAATCACCCATGATAAGAATGTGAGTTTACTTTTGTTGCAAACTGCACCTTAAAGCAGCCGCTAGGTGGTAGTCGGTTTCGGGTGTTGAGTTAGGGGCGCGGTACACCAAGACGATAAGCAGGCGTCCCTGCCTTTTAACTGCAACCGGCACCAAAGAGAGTCAGGGAACTGCGAGTCTGAATCCTCCACGGTTTCGCACTGTAAGTCGTTTCAGTAGTACAGGATTACCCCTCCTCCTTTTGTGAGCCTGTCGTTCCGGTTCAGCGACATGCCGGGTAGCGACACTTCAGCGTCCGTCATTCCCTTTTGCAACCATGTCTCAGTGATACCAACGACATCATACGAGCCGGAAGCTTGGCGATCTTTCAGTTCAGCCAGTTTGTTAGAAGGTCCCTGAGCATTTGTATACAAGCAGGCCAGTTTCACGGTATCTAGTAGCCCGCATAGAGGTGAAGCTGACAAGTGTGGGAGAATGCCGACCGATGGGAGGTCGGCAGTTACTCGTTATTTTAATGGGTCCATGATACCTCGTTTGCTACTTGATTCGGCCAAGGTGCGACCCAGCCTTCGTTTAGACCTACGTCAGAGTCACTTAAAGCAGCAGTCAAGTTACACTTCTGTACATTCGTCAGTATACTTGCTGCTCCATTTGCTTTAATATTTGAGCTGTGCAAATTGTTTGCGACCTTTAACCGAATTTCGGAAGGAAGATGTTTCCGATTTCTCCGCCATCGATCCAAAACATCCTTTGCTTGTTGCTCTGACTGAACCACAAGTTTTAGGATTCTAGGTCCGCAACCTCTATAATTCGATGAGAGAGGTATCCTGGTGAGCGATAGTGCCACAACATCATCCAAAGAAAGTGTTTCGCGAATGAACCGCCACTGTTCTAAATCGTGCTTTCCGGTCTCTTGAACATCGTTAGAAGGATGTTCTGGCACTCCATGTATGATGATTGTGTTTAGGCGGTCTTGCTTGCTGTGCCCCTCTTCGGTGTTTCGTTTTGGTTGTCGCGCGCTCCAAGGGACATCAGGATAGATCCGTATCGCACAGGATTCGTGTTTTAGCGCGCTTGCGGAGAGCAAAACGTCTTCTACGTCGGTGGAGGATTCTAGAGTTACTCGAATAAGTCTGGGTTCACCATAGTGTGGCGAGTTCGGATGACGGGTAATTCGTAACAAGTTGATGGGCTTGGCTTTGATACTCATCTGCATACACAATGAGTTCCATTGATCTTGGTCGTCTGATAACTTATCCCGTAATGTGATGGCGGTAGATTCAGGGACATTTGAGCATACAACAGTCCGGGCACTGTTGTTGGATCCCTTTTAATTGATCTACAAAGTATGGTACTCATTTGTCTGGACTTGTTGGCAAATGATTGTTTGCAATTTTACTCTCTACTTGCGTTAACGGTGTTTACAATGGAAGAGGACGCAACGGCGGCCTCTCGGTGGACCCTTGCAGCAATCTCTGCATATGTAACCGATGTTCTAGGAGGCTTAGTCTCAAGAAGTGATATTTGAGCTACAGGTACCAAGGGTTGGTGTTTGGCTGCTCCATCCTAGTTAATACTAGATGTCAGGTCTAGTGGAATTCGCTTAACCAGACGTTTTGAATGGTGCCTGATTTTCTTTGCTGTGAGTACTGCTTGATTCACGTAGGTACAGTCTGTTTTCGCCCGGCGTTCTACCAAATTTGGAGAAGACAACGGAGATGGAGACATGGCTGATTGCGGTGCAGGCGAAGCGATTTGTTCAGCATTCCGTTACGTAGCAGCCGCTACGCTTCTGTGGTCCATACTCGCTTCCATTGAAGTAAGCTTCTGGTTGATCCTCTGCTCTGCTTCTGCGATTAACCGGTCGCATTTCTCAGCTAGGATAAGCAAGCACTTAACGAGCGGGATGGTGGAACACGCAGTACAGAACCAAAATGCATCTTGGGAGCTATTTCGCTCCCGTAACTGTTGTTGGGACACATTTGCACATTTCGTATGGTACCATGCTAAACAGTGCGAACAAGCCAGACCGATTTTTACTACCCGATGACATTCTCCTAACCCGCAAATGCCTTTCGATGGGAGTCTCTTCGGTTTCGCCTTTCTGCCTTGGGTGTCGTTACCTGACCCAGTGGGTTGGTTAGCGTTCTGTACTTTTACAGCTTTGAGAGCGGCGCACATCGGTCAGGCGAGCGTGGTGGTTGCAAAGTCAAATGAGCGGTCGGCGTGGTCGCGCGGTCCGTGTGATGGGTTACGCAGCCGCACTGGCTGACAAGGTCACAAGCAATGG